TATACTTGACCAACTCATATGAACCATCACTATATTCAGTAGCAGAACATCAAACACAGTATTGAGAAATAAAGTGTGAATTTGGGTTTTTCAATTTGTTTAAGCTTCACTGTATGATTTATATATTATGCTTTACATGCAGTTTCTAGGAAACCGCTGGTGTCCAACTCTTGCAATGCCACCTCTTTTGCTTCTGTCTAGATCAGTGGCTCCCAACCTAGGGTCCTGATGTTCCTGGACTAAAATCTGCAGCCGTAGCGGATTTAGCTGTGCTGACTAGCTTTTTTGGAATTGTAGTCCAAGAACATCTGGGAACACAAATATGGGAGCCAGCAATCTAGATGTATCATAATATTTTTTTTATTCTGGTTAGACATTCATTTGTTAGATGTAGTTTAAAGCCAAAAGTGTGCCAATAGGTTCTACCCCTAAAAAATAAATAAATCTGATAATAAAAACATAGGCAGGGGACATCAAAAAATGGAATTCATACGGGATACAGGGATAATTAAATAATTAAATCTGAATACACTGAACTGAGTAGTTTCAAGTTGTCTTTTATGAAAAGTATAAAGGTTTTAAGTGTGTTTTCGTAGGCTTGCACATTATGCTTTATAACTCTGTCTTGAAATGGAATCATGCAGTGTTTTTTTTTAACTTGAGGCTGATGAAAGTGAAGAATCTGAAGAAAAGCCAGTTGTAAAATTGGGTTTCAATTCACCCTAATGATGGGAAATTGGCTGTAATCATTTTTAAAATGTTCCCCTTTTTATTACAAAAGGTTGGTGAGGAAGAGAATGACAAAATCTGCATTGGGAAAGTAAATCCAGTTTGGCAAGCTAATAAGCCTTGAAAATCCCCTCTGTTCAGATTTCTCTCACATTATCATTAGTAATAACATTAGGCCGGCTATTATATGAATAAACGCTTAGCTTGCTACTCTTCTACTAAAATCTCCCAACAGAAACGCACATGGACATAATTATAGCTTTCCACAAGCCAATAAATGTTTATTTTTCATGTTCAATTAATATGTCTACATTGATAGTATTTTAAAATGTGTGTTAATGCTCAGTGCTTTCATATGTATTATAGTTACAACTTGCTTTCTATGACATTGCTTGTATTTTGGTAGCGGGAAAAATCTTCCAGACTGTATTCCTTTATCAGTGGGATTCAGCTCATAAAGGAATATAGTCTAGCAGGGAGACTTTTGTAGAAAGTAGAAAAATATTTTCTGTTGTGCCACTGCTCTCAAGGCTTCCATTCAATGGAATAGATTATTTGAAAGTCGGACTACCCAGGGGGAGACAAGGAGAAGGTCTTTAGTTATGAAATAATTCCCTCTGCTGATGTTTGCTGGTGACATGATCTTTCCATAGATAGAGATGTATCCAGAGTATTTGTCCCTCCCCCTTTTCTGCCAATTGATTCCACATAGTGCCACTTAAGTGCAATTCTAACCAGGATAAGCATCCACATTACCCTACTTCTTTTCTTTCTTTTAAAAAAATCACCAAGTAAAAATAAACTTGGTGATGTTTACTTTAATAAATAGTGGACAGGAGAGGAAGGTGGTCTGGAGAATAGTAGGACAATTAAAGGTTGAAAATAAGTGTGAGTGATGACTTTTATTGGACCACTTAAAAATCAAACAAATTGCAAGCTTTCATGGGAAAAACCCTTCTTCAGGTTTAGCACAACCCCTTCATGGACAGTGCAGAAAAACTGTAGACAGGAGTCCAAAAATTGATGGTTCATATCTGTGAAATTTTATGTTTGTCTTGTTGAGGCTACTGTCTCAAGCATCCTTGCAGCATAGTTTGGATTTTTTACACCATTCTCTTAGGCTCAAAAGATTGTCAATTACTATGTAATTGCCCCCCCTCACACTCACATTGCCTGCTTCACAACTTTTTGACTGTTGGAATCAGGAGGAACAACACAAAGACATAGCAGCCTCTAGCACAAGTTAGGGATTATACAGTAGCTTGGTATATTCATCAGGTAGAAATAGCCAATTGTGCCAAATTAAAGTCCAAATAATATTTTTACTTAGTGAGCATAACGAGTTGTTTCCTCTGTCCCTTTCAGTCCTCCAGAAAGGGTGACATTTTGTCATGCATCTTCAGGGAAAGACTATGCAATTTGTAAGCTATCTTCAGAGTATTTCTGTAAAGCACTGCAGTTGTGTTTTGTTTCACCCAAAATGCTTTCAGTAAACATTCTCTCAGGATTTCTGAGACCAAACTGTCTCTTGATACAAGTTTTCAAGGGAAAAATTGGCTCCACATCTAGGCAATCTGAACTTTTGAACCTGTCAGACAGGACCAAACTAGTTAAACTCCTTCCTGGCCAAACAAGCAGTTTGGTATTCATGTTTGCAAAAGGTTTCTGTGTCTGGTTGTAAAAATGCAAACTTAGATATACAGTGGTGCCTCGCTTGGCGACGACCCTGCTTGATGATGAAATCACTTGATGATGAGTTTTTTGCGATCACTATTGCGATTGCAAAACAATGGTTCCAGTGGGTTTTTTTCATATTAAATTGATTATGAGCCTGCTTCACGAACTGTTTGTTCGCTAAACGATTATTTTCCAGTTCTGCAAAATGGCTTCCCTCCCTTCGCAAAATGGCTGCTTTCCGGACCCCTGCTTCAGAAGACAGCGATTTTAAACATTTGATCAGTGGTTCTCTATCAGCGATCTTTGCTGGACGATGAAGTATTTCCCCATTGGAATGCATTAACCGGTTTTCAGTGCATTCCAATGGGGTTTTTTTTCCGCTTGATGACGATTTTGCGGAATGGACAATCGTCATCAAGCGGGGCACCACTGTATATTTTTTTAGAAATGTGTGACGAACAAATAATCGGTAGCTCACTCATCTAAACTATGAAATTTCTGTTTTTTCTTTGTGGCTGAGAATGGTCTTACTCAGTGTTAACAGAGGTTTTGTCTCTACATCTTGTCATAGTCTACAGCTGTTGGTTCAGTAGCTCAACCACTCCACTTGTCTTCTCACTATGCAATTTCTTGACGATTAAAAAAAAGGTCTGAAGTTATATCCACTCAAGTCAGTTGTGATGTATGCTGATGATATAAATGAATGGCTGTCAAAACATCTTGTTATTAACAGCTCTGCTTATATCTTGCAAATCAACATTGATTTCTTTCTTTGTTGACTCTCATGTTAGGCCATTCTCTCTTCCTGCTGCCCCCCCAGCAATATTTGTGTTGGGTCAGAAGTGGTTAACTGATGAAAAGTTTGGTATCTCTTTGTGAATGGTAATAAGCCAGAGAGGGTGTCCTCCAGACAATCTTGACTGCTGCTACTGAAGTTGTTGACATGCAGGATGTCCTTTGCTGTGTAAAGTTTGGCATCTTCTTTTCTGCTGGCAGTGCAGATTCAATATTGTGCAGCAGTTTCCAGGAGTTTTAGTTCATGGATAGAAAAGGACATAATTACAACATTAGGTCTGAAGAAAAGTTGTTTAAGCTCTGTTCCTGAGCCAGAATCTCAAAAGTCTGGGTTCTACTTTTTAGACCTGGAACTTTAATGGGCCTCGACACAAGATGGATTGGAATTTGGAAAGCATCTTTTCCTGCCAAAGTGTTGATATGGTGGAGAAAAAGCAAGAACAAAAATATTCTCCATGTTGAGGTCAATCCAATTTAGAGGGAATTGATCAATAAGTTAAGGGAAAAACCCTGTGGAAATAGCTCTATGACTCTGTAGAACTTTACAGCACAGCGGAAAAAAGGAACTGAGGGGAATCTTGGGTGGGAGGAGCTTGTGCCTCATGGGGGATCATCCCATAAAATTGTTACTTTTAGCTCTGGAATGCTCTGAGAATGTCAGCGCAGGCGCAGACTAAACCCATATGTGTGTATTCACAGAGGCCACGAAGAAGAACATGATATTAGTGAGGGTTTAAGCATGTTTAGCCTATAAGCATGTTTAGCCAGACTAATTAATATTGAATAAGTCTTCTGTGTATGCGGTTAAGAGAGAAACTCAATGAGAGGATGAATGTGAATGAATAAGCCTAGTGCCCAGCTCTGAGACCAGGCAGAGAGAGCAGCCAATAAAAATGTTTCTGATTTATGCCAAAGTCTTTTTTTTTTTTTTTTTTTTTTTGCAAGACCGATGCGGTGAACTACAGGGCAAATGAATGGAGTGTTCAGAGTCTGAGTAGCCTGCCTGTGTATATGTTTTTGTGACTTCATGCTTCTTTGCCCTCCCCACCCACCCCCCCAATATCCCCTTTTGCCTTTGCATCTGACTCTGTCTGTCACCTTTGGCTCTGCCATTGTTGTTGTTCCTTCCATTCCTCCAGCTACAGCATGTGGAGCTCCAAATGAAGAAATGTTTTATTCCACAAGGCAATGGTTATAATAATTCAAATCTAGATTTACACATTATATTTGAGTATTAATAAAGTTTGTGCAAACCTGTGTTCCCTTTTGTCCTCGGTGTGAGGTGAAACATTTCATCATTTGGAGCAGTGTGTAAGTCTACAATTTTTTTTCCAACCAATTTCCCTCTCCCCACTGGAATCTGGCTTGCTTCTGCTGGCCACAGATGAAGGTAGGAGATATGACCAGAGAAAGGACATGCTGTTTCTCTATAATGTCTTTTTAACTTCAAGTGGTAAAAGTAACAGGGAGAGCAACAGATGGGAATTGCCTCTAATGCAAGTAAGTAGCATAGAAAAGGAGAATACAATCTGTCATGTAAGGGGCACCCAATAACCATATTTCTGCCTGTTCTTATTAGAACTGTTTCATCATTTGCTCCTTCTGGAGTTTCTCCTGTCACCATCTCATGGAACCCAGTGAATATGCATTAGCTTTTCTGGGGGTGGCTCTGGGCATGAATGGTTTCCCTGCTGTGCTTTATATTGCCCATGGGGAGAAATTAACCTTTTGGGGAAGAGAACAAGTAAACAAATAACAGCTAGGTGAAAGTTTGTTTTGCCTCCCTATCTTTAAAACAGACAATAGCCATGGGGAGATGACTCAGCCGACACTGACAATCCAGACCCATCCCTATCGAAGCTGTGACCCAGTGGAAATGTCCTACCCCAGGGGACAGTTCCAGCCAGCAATCCGAGTGGCCGACTTGTTGCAGCACATCACTCAGATGAAACGGGGACAGGGCTATGGATTTAAAGAGGAGTATGAGGTGAGAGGAATGTTAACTCACTTGACTACCAAGATAAAGGATGGAATTAAGGCTACTGTCAAATCAGAATGAGTACTCTGGAGACACATCTTGATGGTTAAAGAGGCTTATTTTCTATGTTGGTTTTAATGTTTTCCCTCCATTTGCTCCTGAATCTGTGTTTGAGCTCCTTTTCTGTTACATGTAGCATCTTGCCATCCTACTTTTGAGAACCTAATGGCTTCTGCCTCAGACCAGTGATGTGGAGACATTGATGTCCTTCACACAATGGCTTTCCATCTATAATCTATAATGACATGTGACAAAAAGCTTGTTCTTTCATTGGAACTCAGCAGCAAGAGTGGGCAGGCTTCAGGCTTGCAAGGTCTGTCCTGTTTTTGTTCACTGAGATTTTAGTTTTGCACTAACTAGGAGTTAGTTTTGCACTAACTAGGAGCTAGTGCAAAAGACTGTTAAAATGAAGACCCATCAGCTTATAGATTCGTTGTAAAGACTGTATGTGAACGGAGCCCACAATCCTTCCATGCACTTCGTTAATTGAAACTTGCTTCATTTCAGCAGCACAACTTAAAACAGTTCGGAGTTGCTGCTATTGTTAAACATTTAGGAGTCAGAAGCCCATTGCAGAAATTTCCAAGGTGGGTAGCACTCTCAATAGGTTGCAGTAAAAACAATTTTGTGACTTTTTTTTAAAGCATGTATGAATTTTTAGTGAGTGTATAATGGGTGAATACAATTGGGTACATTTGTACAGATTGCAGAAAGAAAAATGTGGGAGAGAAGAAAAAAAGGAAAAATGTAGAGAAAATCTTAGAAGGGGAAAACGGATGAAAAGAGAAAGGAATATCACTCACAGCCAAACCTTAATGAAACAATAGCTGATGTATATAGATTTGTAGATGTGTCCCAAATACCTTTGTATGGATCATGTATTAGCATATAGTATATTTAAAAGATGATGAAAAGAGAAAGAGCAGTTAGTTCTCATGGCCACTGATAAACTTACAAAGATTATTTGGATTGTCATTCTTGCAAGATCTAGTGCTTGACAATAAGCAGGGCCCACATACTCAAATTACACTGTTCCATGGAGAATTTACAGGCTGTAAGATGGTCAGCAGTAACTGAGAAATCTCTCAAACAAGGTGGTTATTTCATTTCAGGTTTCCCACTCGTGTTTCTGACACTCATCCAAATTAAGCCCTACAAAAACCTTTAAAAACTACTCTATCGAAGCAGAGAGGCAAGGCAACAGAATCCACCAAAATATACAACTTTTACATAAATTCACAGCAAATTAACTTAATAACATTTAAAAAAATCAATCAAGTGGGGAAAGCACTTACTCCCACAAAGAGGGAGGAAATTAGATTTTAAATAAAAAACACAAATAGTCCCCTTACCTAAAAATGAAAAAGAAAAAACAACAAGCAAGCAAGCAAGCAAATAAAGGCAAAACTGCAATCAAACCCCTATTCTCTCAGATTAGAAATGCTAACATGTAAGGAGATTTTCCCACCTCACTTAATGCCTTCTCTATACCTGTCTGCATCTACCAAGTGGCAGCAGCAAGATCAAAGGAAGGAAGGAAGGAAGGAAGGAAGGAAGGAAGGAAGGAAGGAAGGAAGGAGGGAGGTCCCAAAAAAGAAAGCATGGTGGCATGGGCAAGCTGCTAGGCACCAGCAGGTAAAATAATCCAAAGAAATTGAGAGGGGCTTCCCCCCCCAAAAATTAAGAAATTAAGACTAGCAAGAACAGGATACACAGGCAGACAGGAAGTAAAAGTAATTCTGGACTGAGGACAACAACAGCTCAGCAGCATACAATAATCCCACCCCTCCAAGGAAAGATTGTAATACAAAAATGACAGGCCCAACTAGTTTCTAGGCCCATCTACAGAGTCAACATTCCCTCTCTCCCAAGATGTCCTGATTGGCTATAGACAGTCCTTGATGGTTGCTCCACCATGTCCAGTAGGCGGCATGATATTATTGGATGAAACATTTATCAGGTAATGCAACATACAAAAGTTGAAATAAATATTGTGTACAAAGAATCAGACAAAAAATTGACACAGAAAGGGTGAAATAAAGGTTATACAAAAGAGGGGGCACCGAAGATACAATAAAACCCCCATGTACACTCTTTCATTAATACTAATCATTCCATTTTTAGAAGGCCCATTTTGGGAGTCAAGGAAAGAACAGAAAAACAAACACACAAGAACAGCCTGTTCCATGCCTTTTTTCATGTAAAATTAAAGATCCATCCCTACCCAGAAGCACTTGGGGCAAAAGAAACAAAAATCACTGTTAGGAGATGTTTCAGCTGTAACCACCCAACCCTCAATAGTAGGTTATATTTTTTTTGTAAGTTCAAAATAACAAGAGCTATATCACTAGTGACCCAAATATTGCTACGGAATAGCTGACCACAAATCTTTACAACTGGGTTGCTCCAAATTCTGAGCTTTTGATGTGCAAATGGATTGAACAAAGACCATCTTGCCAGATCTGATTAAATTGTGTGCCACTCCCGTACTATATGGTATGTCCCCAGTTTGTTGACATGAATGAAATGTAAAAACAAAGGAAAGTGTGCTGCTTATATACCGCTCCATAGTGCTTAAAGCACTCAGTGGTTTACAATTTAATTATGCAGGCTACACATTGTCCCACCTCCAGCAGCCTGGGTACTTAGTTTACCAACCTTGGAAGGATGGAAGGCTGAGTCAACCCTGAGCCAGCTATCTGAGCCCAATGGGATTGAACTCGAGTCGTGAGCAGAGTCTTGGCTGAAGTACTGCAGTTTAACCACTGTACCATGAGATTCTTTCCTCATGACACATTGGTTAAATGACATGTAGAAAGTACCTATCCTTCAGTCTTCGCATTTTTCTGTATTTTGCAATGTTAGTCTCTAATCAAAAATCCTGAGGACAAAAATGCATATGTTTAACAAACAAAGGGGTGTACTTGCAAAAATGAACATCTGTGCATGCAATTGCATACAAAACAGAGATGGTAGGAATCAATGTCACATGGTATAGGTATGCCTAGAAAATGCATGCAAAAGTTTCTGCAGACTTCATTTTAAAAATGGGCATAATGTTGTGGAAACAGGATAGAATGAACCTAAAAATGAAAAAAAGAAGAAAAAACCAAAACTGATAGACAAACAGATTCCCTTCATAGTGCCTTCCTGCCAACAGATACTACCAGAGGTGAGGGCAACAGGTGGCAGAGCTGGAAAAGGACTTTCCACTTATGACAAATATCTACCGGAAGAACTGTTACCTGGAACAAACACCGCAAAATCATTTCACCCCACAAAGGCTTATTCACAGGTGATTTTGTGTTGCATTTCTTACACTAATCACGATTTTGGGATATCTTCCTTCTGAGAAATCTCTGATCTCTCTGTGAGATATAGTAAAGCCTGGTGGACTTAGAGACCAAAGTTGTTCTTACAGATTTGATTTCTTATCCATGAGATGTGGGCCACCAGAGACCTTTGTAGTAGAGGAATGAATAGCCTGAAACCACAGGTGGTGAGCCTTTGAGACTTTACACATTAATTATAATCCCAGATTTCTTGCATTTATTAAAGTTTTTGCAGGGTTGCAGACTTAGGATAGAATGCATTCACAGTATAATTTCAACAACCTTTGGTGGTGTACTATAAATCACCCAGAAATCTGCTAATATCTACCAGAAATCTCCCTTCTTCCCACTACTGTTTTATGGTGTCTAGAATTAAGATTGGAGAAATCCAAATTTTATGTCTTGTGGAGAAAGTTACTGAATATTGTCTAGAAAAGAGAATTCAAGGCAAAGTCTGGCATTGCATATGGCAGTACTGATGGGCAGTTATTGACAAGCTGTACTTGAATATGTGTTGAGGTGACGCCAGATTAGTTTAGACTTGGGATACATGTATTTGTGTTTATTAACTGTAGAGTAGAGATTGCCTTGCCATCTTACAAAGAAGAGAATGATTCTCTCCTGTCCACCTCCACAGAGTACTTTCTAATGAAATGGTGCCACAGGGTTATCAGGTGACCTTTTCTTGTTTTCATAGGACAACACCGCAATAGATGGGAAAGCAAGATTTAAAAATATGACAAACACTTATTCCATTCCTCTACATTCTTGCTTTGCTGTCAGAACAGCCTTCATGGCATAACAGATGAACAGAGTGTGCTAGATTCTATTAGAGATACCAAGAGGATTTACTTTTCTTGCGGCTCTTGTTTCCTTTCTGTGTTAACTGAACTGTACATGTGTTTTGTTTTGTTTTTTTGAATTGTGAAAGGGCAGATGCTGACAAAATTGTCTCAATACAAAAGTAGCAAGAAAAATCAATGGTAGTTGCAGTAATGCCATATCACATCACCTCTCTGAAAGGCTGGGATGCTACTTGAAAGATTCAGATAATCAATGCCCAGTTTCCAAACAGTCAGGTTGTGGGTGGGCATTTTCTTAAGGTACTCCCTGGGATCAAACAGGTGTGATTTGAGCCTTTAAAGAAAGCTCCTGGACCCAATCTCATTTTTAATGAGATCTTGACCATAAACCCTCATTGGTGGGCAGAGCCCTTAGCTACTCTTTTTACCATGATACCATATTTGCCGGCGTACAAGATGACTTTTTGGGCCCAAAAATCATGCCTCCAAGGTGGGGGGGTCGTCTTGTACGCCGGGTGCACTGAATGATGTGGGGCCGCGCTGGCCGGGGAGGAAAGCAGGCGGGCAGGCGGGCTGGAGGGATGGAGGGAAGCCCAGCCT